CCATGGTTTCATATAATCACAATAAACATACACCTGTATCATTTAGCTTCATGAGTAAATGAAAGAAAGTATAAAAAAAATTGACTGATCGGCAGCCGCCTACAATTCAATAAGCATGACAACTTAAAATAACGTTTTATCATACTAATCATTAACAGGAACAAACACATTAATTTAGACGGAACTAATAAACAGGAGATTTTAAGAGATCCAAAATTTTAACGACCTAAATTGGGAATTACTTCTATAATTGATAATCCCTACTAATTCCTTATTACTAACAACAGAATGGCAATCACACTGTTCAAATAAAGCTGCAAGTACATACAAAGTAGCTAAGCACAGAGATAAATAAAACTTATGAAAATAAAAACCTACTCATGTAAGATTAACTTAACTAAAAGTGAGTCTGAATTGTAATGATAGAAAGGGGTTAAAGGAAATGCATTATACGTTAAATATTAATATTTAGGCCTTCACAGACAAATTAAAGATTTGTGAGCGTGTCATGGCAGTCGTGCAAATGCTTGTAATGAAAGCCAATTATTTCTGTTGTCACCAGACGTTATCTTCCGAAAAATATCAATCATAGCTGATGAATATTTTACAGCTTTTCTTAATCTTAAAAGCATTTTAGTTACCAAGAATAATTGGCTCTCGCTCGGGACACAAGCAAATGAAATAGGTTTTTTATACGATAGGCTCGGATAGGATATCCGACCATCTGCTTAGATGGTAAGCAATGGGCGTCGCGCTTGGACCTCCGCAACACAAGAAGACTACAAATGCGTTATCGGCCTTTTGGGGGATCAGGGATTTGAGGTTTGTGAAATTTGGGACCTTCATGATTTTTAGTCTTTCATTTTTCACAAACGTTGTTGCAAAATTAGTTACTACTACAACTAATAACTACCAAAAACGCTGTGAGCAGCTAAATAATTTTGAAATGGAGTTAAAGCAGTGTAGTGTTCATCAATATTTATGATACTATTATTCTGAGTATCTTGTTTGCCATCTTTTTTCATCAGTTTTGGTACTGGAACCTTTACTTCTTTCTTCAGGCTTGGGGGATGACTATGGAGGATGTTGGCCTTTAAGACTTCGAGGCGATCGGTGATGATGAGGTGAGCCTTGCATTTCCATTTGGAGCCATAGGCAGTGCAGCTCCAGCGATGTGCATTACTCCTTGCCTTGAGGTGCTTGTAGAAGGTGAAGTTGTTCAGACGCAAATTGATCCTACCGCTCGGTCGTAGGTAGAATTCCACTGTTGGAAAAACAATTTGGTCAGTACTTGTTATTACCAACTTTATATCAACTCCATTATCAATAGAGACTAAATAAAATATATTAAGATGTTCTTTGTCACATTTCTTTTAGTAGGCCTACTTAGTTGGAATATGAGACATTAGTCTAGGAAAGGTTTTCAAGTAATAATACATAGTATTTGATATCATCATTTTATAATTAGTGCAAGGATCTCCATGAAGATCAATAATACAAGCTAAAAACGACGAAATAAAGAATAAACTTCAATTTGATTTTAATAAGCGAGATATAAAACGATACATTTATTAATACAATTCTATACTCTACTTTAGTACATATAAAGGCGTGTTTTAAACGTTATAGGTTTGTAGATCTGTACGTGTAGTCGAATAAGGGTTGTTGGAAAGCTTTACAGGCAAGAAAAGAGGTATCTTGACCTAGTTCCCTGACAAAGGATCGGTTACTGCCCGTACAGATCTAGTTCAACCATGGTACGTTGTACGTTCACTATATTCGAGGGATGAGTACAAGTTTGTTTTACATCGATCCAAACGAGACCGTGTTCGGCGTTCTGATTGGCCGGCTCCAATAAACCAACCAATCAAAGCGTCGAACGTGGTCTCTTTTCGATATACGTAAAACATATTCATACTAAGAGTACAGCTAGTTTCGACAACTGACCTATAGATAGAAATATAATTTTAACACATTTTCTATAGAGATTGTGTCAAAATTCTATCTTCCGTAAGTAAATATACAGATAGATTATCGTAACTGCTTATGTAATTATTATTTCGTATTAATAAAACCAAGTTTTATTATAATAACTTTGTAGGTATATACAGTTTAATATAATAATATAATGCGAAGTAAATGACATAATTTTAGTGACTAATACTCACAAAATGAAATGAATAACGTGTACCTTGTAGCAAGATGCTAGCTAGTCAATTTATTTTTGTTTTGAAAATAACTATATTAGTTTGTGAATAATAAATGATTTAATTACATCAATACAAAGAAACTTTTTTTTATGAGGTGGCTCGTAGAAGAGTAGATGGATCACCTCATCGTCATCATGAACTGATGATGCCCCCACAGCTGAGTAAAACCTCTTCGCAAACGGAGAAGGTTTGAGCATTAATAACCACGCTTGCTCAATGCAAGTTGGCGATTACAAACTTATATTTAGAAATTATAGGCCCAGGTTATCCTCACGATGTTTTCCTTCACCGTTTGTCAGTGGTGTTTAGATAATCTTAGAAAATACATAACTCGGAAAAAGTCACATTGTTACTTGCCGTTGGTAGTTTCGAACCCCCTGAGGGTGCCCTCATGCATGAGATGTTGAAACGTCCGAGCCACCGCGACTATACCACGCGACAGATCACCTGATAGTAAGTAATCGGCGTCGCCCATGGACACTCGGAACACCAGAGGCGTTACACGGATTGGGGAGATCGGTGAGAGGGTAGGGGAATTCAGTCTCCGTCGTAAAGATCGATTAATAATAATTCATCTGATTTGAAAATGCAGTAATTCAATTATCACATCTTCGACTTGTCAAGTTACCTATTTCTTATACTTATTTATAATCTTACTAAATAGCATTAATTAGGTTTTAATTTAGATGCCTATTCTAGCTTTCCTATGATAATTGTTACTACATACAATTACTGTTGCTTCCATACATGATATACCTATTTTATGCTAGATGAGAACCATATTTTATACTAGGTATGTACTGCATTATGTTACATTCATTAACATTCGCTATAGCAACCTTTCCTAAGTGTTTCACAATGTTTCTGATAAAGTTACTGTTAATATAACTGATTGTTTAGCATATTTACTATACGTAATATTATGTCAGTCAGGTTAAAAAAAGTTAAGTCTACTGTCTACGCCGCGTCATTTGACGAATGCATACAGCTTACAAGTAACAGGCGGATTTGTATGCAGTGTCACAGTTCTGATTGTATCTACGCAAGATGCAAGCATTCGTCTAGTAATCGTCATGCAATCGTCAATTGACGAAAGCGTTTAATAACGTGTGGTTACGTGAACAATTGGCTTTTGTCAAACATTGTGAAACAGTAGGTCTACTCCGGTTCTCGAATGCGAAGTTTCGTTTGATTTGCGGCGGCAAACAACGTTTTCGGAACCATAGACAACTTTCGTGAACTACAATGAACGAATGAAGTGAAGATAAATAAATAGGCAATAAAGAGGTTTAGATTCGAAATTAAATAAAAAAAAATATTTTAAGTAATTATATTACTGAAATCATAAGGCCATGGCTTAGCACACATAATCATCAAGAAAATCTTGAATAATCTTTTAATAATAACGTTTAAGATGGAAAATCTTAAACAGGATAAGAACCTCATTTCAAAAATGTATTATACGACTAAGTTAAAAAGTTTTAGAATGTTGTTTTATTGTCATTTATTGACATTTATGTGTAAAATAATGACAACCAAATTTATTCGTATTATATTAGTACAGTCAGTTTAAAAATTATAAATGTCTACATGAGAATTTGAAGAGACTAAATTATTTCGTGTTATGATGATTAACAATATATTTTTGAAAGAATTTATCTTATCTATAAATGTTGGTATATTAATAGATGTGAAAGAATAGCGAAAATATATACTAGCAATACTTAAGTTAATTTTTCTAGCGGTATTATTAGTTTTAAGATAAAACATTACACATGAAACATTTATGTTCAATACATAAGGTATTCAAATATGTATTTGATTACCCTAAATGTTACTAACTCTCATAGACATATAAAATATATGGGTTCGTGTTAACAAACTATTTGAGCTGACTGTACATTGATTTTATATCGTCATTTAAGTAGTTCCTTTGGTGCCCTACGTGTTGCCCACACAAAGAAACCGTGACAAAACGAAGACTTATAATTACTTTTCTTCATTTTTCAATAAATTTAACCCAAACGAAAATCAAACGATAACTATTTTGGTTTCGTCGAAATGACATTAAACGTCCGAAGAATAATCTGTCAAACTCGAATTTTCGTTCGTGCGGATTGTACAATTAGAGTAGGGTTCCGAAAATATCGACGTCAAACAGTACATCTCATACTAATTTCTGCCTTGTTTCATTCCTTTTTCGTTCGTAATAAATGCCATTGTGGTAGGTAATGTTCGAAGTTTCGTCCGAAACTTCGTTTTTCGTCGAATCAGAGTAGACCTCAGATCATACGAACATAATTTCGTTATGTTAATAAATTCATGGTCTGTCTAATCCAATTGCGTTTAAGAATATGTGTCATTGAAGATACTAGAACAAACCACGTGATAATAAATATAGGTAGTCTTTGTGTCAGTATACTTTATATCATAGTATGTAAAATAGTTGTTGATGATAACTAATGTAGCTAATCAAATATTTAACTAAAATATATGACATAATTGTATGTAGCTTTCATAATTATTTTCTGGCTTTGACTGATTACTATCGCCCGAATACTGTAAGGCTTAAGTTGTATTTAAATATCGAGCCATCTCTGTCAATTTACAAAGAACTTGTAGCGACAGAACTATATTCAAGCGCGACCTAAACTTGAGTAGCCTTTCAGCATTGGGGCATTTGTTTTTAATTGTAAATAGAACATTATCAACTAAATAAAGATAAATACGACAAATCTATAATTATTAAAAATGCATTATAATAACCCGTTTAGATAAAATAATCATAATCTAGATCATCGGTTGACATAAAACATAAATTATATCTTGGAATGATTTCAGAACAATTTTGGAAAAATATACCAACCGAATTTAGAACCTTAATTATATACCCTAGAGAAAAATTATCTAAGCCCAAAAATGCAACTTTATGACACAAAAAACACAACACAGGTCAAAAAGTTGTGTCATATAAACCGCTACGTAATAAAAAATAATAAAATACATTGGGATGTTTTTAAAACCAATTGAACGTTGAAGCATTTTTTTCTGATCTTTTTGGTATAATTAATTCATTTTCGACAAAATTGGACTTAAAGCCTTGTCACTAGGGCCAGAGAATTATGAAATTGGCAAATAAATAATGTAATATCAACAAAAATAGTGGATTTAAAATACTTATGAACAATACTATTCTGAACAGTATCATTAACTTAATAATAATATCTTGTTTCAAACACAATGTTTGAAGACATTCGTTCATCAGAAATTCGCACGACCTTGAATACTGCTGATCTTCCAGGGCAAAGGATTCCATAATTTCTTGCCCATGTTAAAACCCTTTTTCTGGAACAAAAAGTTAAAATTGAAATTGTCAACCAGAGTAATCCTCTTCGCACATGTTATGATGAAAATGGCAATGAGCTGGTGGATGCAGAAGGTGGCAGTTGGGCAGCGTGGTAGACTGAAGAAGAAGTCTTTTGGCTGATGATAATAGAGGTTACAATGGAATGGAAAGAAATGTTTTGAATCATGCGCTTCATGTACACAAATTGGATCATATGCGAACGAGATTCGTCTAAGGTTCTATAAACACACGTACTTACATCCTTAGTCTTTTTGAATTTAGGGGTCTTCCAAGGTGGAGGATGAGTGTGTTCAGTAAAGGCTCGAAGTACAAACATATCGTGGTTCACGTGTAAGAATCCTCTGCATGACCTTGAGCCCATCTGAGTGCAGCTCCATCGAAATCCATCCCTCAAAATCTTGTGCTGGTAGTAAGTGTAGCCTTCCATCATCAGCAAGTCTTTCCCATTCCTTCCTTTCACCAGAAGCACTGAAAACATTGTTTTTGTCAACTGAAATGTTACACCTTGTCGCAGAATATTTTTTTTTATTGAAATAGGTATTTTATTTTTTATAGATAGTAAATGAGAAATTGCCAAGACTGTGACAATTGGCGTCACTTCGTCATTAGCAAAAAGAGATTTTAGGTCGTAAATACATATTTTAGCCATGGTAAATGTTACATGTCTACAAAACTACTTGTGCTTCATCCCTTTTTTAAACACACACTATAGTTTATGTTAGGGAGCATTACTTACCACGTTAAACGCCATTTTGGAAAATAATAAACTAAACCATCTGTCTTTTTAGGTAATGTCAGATTAAGCTTTAAAGTTCGACGGTTCATATCTGGACACTGGACACTGGCAGTATAGTCGACAACACTGTATTGCAGAATTTTTGGCGATAACCATTGCTGATATGGATTTTTATGTTTTTATCAGCAGTTCGATTTAGAAGAAGGTTAGGTTAAGTACTGTGGGAAAATTGCAGACGAAATACTAGTACTTATATTGTTTTCCTACCGTAGCTGCGGACAACCTTGCGGGATACCGGGCGGTGGGACTCCAGCTCGAAGTAGGAGTAGAAACTGTTGGTTTTAGTCAGTAAGAGTTTGACACTCCCTTTCGTTTAGGAGAAGGGCGTCTTGGAAGACGGGCGGAGTCATTTGATGATTTTCCCCCTCTAAAAGTCTAAACCTGGATATCAGAAATCTATAACAATGGCGCCATCACTTTAGGTAACCCCAAAATGGATACATTCTTTATTAGACTTGCAACTTTATTACAAAACAATAAGGATTAAAATTTAACTATTAAGAGATTGACTTAGTAAACCTAGATTTGTAATAATCAGACAACTATAATGATTTGACATTCTTTATTGCATTCACTACGATACAGACATCACAACTAAGTTATTTCTAAAAGAGTAAAATACTGATTTAAATACATGTATAATCTGTCCCTTCATATGGTTTTTGCAGAAGTTAGTGCATTTTTTGCGTTAGCTAGATGGCGCTAGTGTGACTTTTAGTCCTTAACAATTTCGCTTTCGGTTGTTCTACGTACGAGGCACTGATGTTAAGCTACTTAGATAATCCTAATTAAGACTTATATCATCTGAGGGCCAAGCAAGAATAACTATCGCATTCGTATCGTAACAGTATCGAGCGAGTTAAGCGTTCTGATTGGTTGATTCACTTGAGCCGGCCAATCAGAGCGCCGAACGAGCTTGATACTACATATTACGTTACGAATGCGATAGTTATTCGTGCTTGGCACTCTGACCAATTATATCTGATTCACAATCGAATAGTTACATTATGCATAAACGCGCACTTTGAAACATCGATTAGGTATATTGAACATCCAATACACACTGTATATACTATTATATATGTAATATATATATTAAAAAAATTCAAAAAGACAGTCTATATTCTAAAATCTAATTAATATCAATAAAATGTCCACAATAGAGTGAATTAAAATGACTAGAAATCAGTACTAAGTACATAATTATAATAAAATTGTAAAATACGTTCCTAAATATACACAGATATGAGTATTTTAATATAGCATAATTACTTATTTGACGATTATGATATATTGTATAATCGATTATTATTATTAATAATATAATAATTCCAAATTCGTATACTTAATAGTCACTTTAACGACGGACTTTTCAATTAGGTATCACAAATAATTAAGACAATGACCCCCTAAGTCATAAGGCATTCTTCCACCGATTCCTTTCTTACCGATATACCGACTTATCACTTACCGATTTCCGTTTTCGAAAAATATCACATGATCTAATCTAGGTACTAATTGAAAATTCCGTTTTAGGTGGTACATTGATTAATATTAAATACTACAACATTGAGAGATCATCATGAAAATACTTTTAAATAGATTTGACTTTTAGCTTAACTCTAATACCAAGTAAAAATTAATACTGACTTGGACGTAAACTGACTAGAATAAGGATCACAGGATCTAAAACTACATATAAGTTGTTAACTTACACAATATATTATATAATATACCCATAATATAATATATATTATCGATCATTCAAATAGAAAGTTAAGGTATTTAAATATAGATATATAGTGTATAACTACCATCAATAAAGTCTAAATATTATTATAGCAAAATTCAATTTCGAAAAATTCTGTAAGCAGGTCAAAACTACGCAATGATCAGTTTTAACGTGCACGTGTCATTGCGGAAACCTTTTTTATATACTCTTTGTAAGCAGCTTTCAAATAGCTGACTGGTATAGCTGACAAGTTTGGTTTCTTCTCTACTTTGGCATACAATCCATCAATTCTACGCAAGTACAATGGAGGAGCATGGTGGTGGACTTCATTCTTTTTGAGGACATTTAGACGTTCATCTAGTACCAGATGGGCCTTGCATCCAGTTTGGACGTACTGGTTGCACCGCCATCGATCCCCATGCTTCAACCTGCAGTGGGTACCGTACGTGTACCGATTGTACTTGATCAAGCACTTGCCCCCAACCAGGTTGATGCAGGATACTGGAATACAGACCCTTTCATCAGACGACCATTCATAAATTAAGTAAATTGCTCTACGAGTGCTAAACATTCTGAAGCCGTGAAAGTAAATGTATGGTGAATAGCTAAGTGCAGTTCGATTTCGTTTCTTACATACGGTAGTAGCTTAAATCATATTATATGGAATGGTTCATCTATGCAAGCTTTAATAAAACCACTTGACACGAAATAAGATAAACAATGCTTGTAGAATGGGTTTATTAGTTTTTCTTTCAACTAAGAAACTATCTAAACTAAACTTAAGATTAAATATATTAGCACGTAAATAACTAAATGAAATTCAAATCAAATCACTTTAATGCACCTACAGTGTACAAGGTGGTCTACAATTTTGATATAATAATTTCTGCTAACTAAATTCCTTTGTTTAACTACAGAACTCGTAGTTGTGTATATAGACAATAATATCTAACAACCATTGACCTATAAAATAATGTAAAAAATTGGTTTTCAGTTTAAAAAAAACCACAAAATTTTTATTTTGAACTCATGGAAGCCGTGTCAAACGATGACGCTATGTTTTTTTTTATTTTATTTATTTATTTATTTATTTAAAACCTTACCTAAAACTATCATTACAGTTTTCTCCATTGCGATAGCTTAGGTCTAAAACTAAATCTATGTGCCTAATTACTAATACATATGCATACACAAACTTAATTAATCTTAACATTTATCCATAAAAAAAGAGATAATACTGACGACTTTATGGTCACGAGATCAACGGTGAACTACTTACTAAATAACAATAATAAAAATAAAAAAAAAAAAAATGAAATGAAATAATAATCTTAATTAACATTTGAATAACATAATATATACAACGTAACTTTTACGAATTCACTCACATTGCAACACAATACATCCACCCTTTCATGGACTTCGTTCACTACTCTCATAGCTCTAGTGAGAGGAGCCCTAGATGTTATTTAAGTCAAGGTAAGATACGCATTTCATCAAAATGTTTTTGAAGCATCGCCTACGGTAGTACGGTTACCATAGCCAAATACGTTAGTCCATAGATGAGCAGGAAAAGTAACAAAAAAAGCAGTCTTTAAATCAGTAATTATAAATGAAATAAGTAGATGTAAAAACAAACTATTAAACACAGTTTTATTATGTAGTCCATAGAGCCTATAACGAAATCGACACAGGAGACTTTTTGTGAAGATTGTTTTTAAGATCACTCTTAACTAGCATGCTAAGATTGTTAACTACTTAACCGGAAAATCTGTGAAGAAATAATGGATTCTTATTCCTTAATAGAATTTTGTTTTGACACATTGGCATTTTGTTCAAATTTCACTGAATAGGAAAGGAAAGGTACATATTCTGGTATATGGATCTCGTTAGAGACAAAAGTAAGGACAGTGAGGGTAATCACATGAAAGTAAAGAAAAGAAGTCTATGTACCATTTTATCCTTCCTCTTTGATGATGATGTACTCACAATCATGAACAACAAAAGATAGAAAGATTAAATACCATCATTAACCGATTCATTCATCCTATAATAAACCCCGTTCCTCAACCGATAGTCATCAGGTTCGTGATTGTGGACACCATGACATCTGACGATTAATCCGCCATTAACAATGACGAAAGCGTAGCATCTTCTTGAAGTCCTCTTCGAGCATCTCCATCTTTTACCCTCTCTAGAGAAGTTAGTGTCCATGGTGTAACTATAGTTCTCAAGCATAAGCAAAGTGGCGCCTTTTTTTGAAGTTACGAACATCGCTGGAAGGACAAATTTTAAAAAAGAAATGTCAAAAGATGGCATTATTAATTATATTCTACAATTCACTTACGAAACTGTTTCACGTGTTAGCTCGATTAGTTTCAAGCTATGCCGGGGCCTATACTTATGCCCAGAGCATTGCGCGACAGACGACGCGAGGAGTGTAGCACCATCTCAAACAGTTAGGTCAGTAAACCGTAAAACATAATTAATTGTATTAAATTTGTGTTACGAGGGTAACTACAGGTACAAAGATAGAAAATACTTACTTATTTTTAAATAGAGGAGATTGAAATTGACAGCATTTCAGTGTTTGTCTTTATTTCACCAATAAACAACATTATAGTCATACGATACATAAGTACAAAAGCTACAGACTTACAAAAGAAATGTAAAAAAAATAAAAAAATAAATTAAAAAAAATCACTGGAATGAATACCGTCTTTTGAGTATACTTTGACAGAACTTAATTTAGATATAAAAAATAAATAAAAAAATAACAGGCACCTCAAAATTAAGTACCCTTTAACTTTAAGAGATGGAAACTACTTTCAGTATAAAGTACCTATATAAAAAAAAATAGAATAACAATTCAATTGATTTATGTAAACTTTTTTAAATAACGATTTGGCACACATGTTCATTGAGAAGGAAAACATTTTATGACTAGTTAAGATAATATTTAGTTTTTCAAGTAAATTACGTACATGGATACAATATGTCTTCTAAATTTAATATAACCTGATATAACTTTATAAAAATCTAAATACAAATAAGTATGTATACGTTATTATAAATCCAAGCTCATATGAGCACACGCATCTAATTTTTCTAACTAGTTACTCACGCCATCTCTTGTTACATAAACGAGCTAATTACTTGATTGCGTCTAAAGGCCACTAGGTGGCGTATTTACTAAACATCTAATTTGTATAATATAATGTAGATTATAAACGTATATTAGGGATGATGACGGGGAATGAAAAAGAGATGCATTTATTAAGTCCTTCAGTCAATAAAGTAAATTAACTAAAAAAAATAAGTTAATTTTGCATAAAGTACACGCACATTATACACGCAAGTGCCATCATGCGACATTTGAATTTTAAATGCACCAAACGAACAATAAAAAACTAAATTATTAAATATTGTTACCTATACTTAAAAAATCTATTCACATTGCTACCATAATAAATATAGAACTGAAATAGGACACATTATTCCATTTTTTTCCTAAAAAAAACCCTTCCACACTATTTGAGCCGTTAATACCTATATGGCTGACAAAAATTCAAAATAACAAAAACCATTGTTACTTTACTGATTGACAAAGTACTATATTTAGATTCCTAGTCACTATAACAAAGTTTTCAATTACCTATATAATAATATATCCTTTACCTAATTAAATATGTACGATAAATGCGAAATTATATATTATCTATGCAACTACTGAGGCCAGTCAAAATGGCGCATGTCCTGTTAACGCGGGAAAATTTGCAAGCCTTATTTTATTATCTAGGTACTGTCTGCATTTATAAAATTTAGACAAAGTTATTTAAGTACTCCAACATTGGGATAAATAGTACAGATCAATTATTTAATCAGTATTCAAAAAGACTAGTAATATTTGAGTTTCAAAACTTAATAAAAATTCGCTATAGGCATATAATATAATTTTTTTAGAGTATATTTATAAATATTATACAGTATAACTTTGCTACTCAGTAACCACCTGCATCTCAGGAAATTGCTAAAATTAAGGGAAATGAGATATATAAACATATACAGAATACAGGTGACCAATGCATCGAACAGTCTACAACAGGTATGATAACTGGCCAAAGTAGGTAGTCCTCGACATCAATCATTAAAGTTGTACTTGGTGTAGTTATCCTCATGGTTGTGGAAACCTTTATGCTTCAGGTACCTTCCTTCAATAGTGGTCTGCACACAGCTGTTGCATCCAAGTCTCTTCCGATCCCTACAAGTCCAGTTGATGGTGTTTTGATACCGGTTGTTGATCCAATACTTGTTGTCGTTGTATATCAAGACCATACTGCCAGTTCTGTGCGATGGGAGGTAGTAAATACCTGAAAAATACCTCAAAACTTATTACCAGTACAAAATTAATGTATTCATTCATCTAATGCGCTTGGCTAAGTAAACTTTCCTAATTAGCATTGGACATAAAACGGAGATTAAACATATGGGCTTTATATTTTATTTCCAATTAAACACACAGCTACACTGTACCTAAATGAAATATACATGGGTAAATTAAAAACAGTAATAAAATTAATTCTCCTCTATATTTACATAATATTTCCTACAACAGATTCTAGTAAACAAAATAAAAACGATTGCTTGAGTTTCTTTACATCACTATTTGTTACCACACATTTACATTAAGTATTGATCGTTCCCATTTACAAATAGTACAGTTTATTGGCAATTCTGTCGGGTATATATTTATCTAAGCTAATCACATACACTGTTATAAGGCGGGTCAATAAAACCAACACACATTTACCAGAATACTGTATTTCCTAATATATTCACAAAGAACTGTTCACCTACAGCTAGCAGGTCCCTACATCAGAAACATGCGTTACAATAACACATTACAATAAGTACATCACAATTTGTAACTATTTATTATAAAATAAAATATAAAAAATATGAGTCAAAAGTAAAGATCACTGTAATTGTGATTGTTTGGTAAAGAAATATTTTTCTCTTATAAATCTACCATCATGACATTGTCGTAAACGAGGTGGATCATGTATATGTCTACCACGGAATATAGATATATAATCCCTACCATCTACACCTTTATATGTGATGACATCAGCTCGGCAGCCGTGAACATCTCTTGAGGAACAATACCATTGCTTCTTCCCATGTGCTTGGTGATTCTTCATATAAAATGTGAACCCATTGAGGATAAGAAGTCCAGCACCCGTTCGCCCCGGAATGAACTGAGCCGGCACTGTGAGCAAAACCTTTTATTTTAGTTATTTACCTTGGACAGGGGGAAATGAAACAACAAGTTTGGTTTGGTACAATAATTTTAATTCTAAATTTGTCTGCTTTCTTGTGTGGGAATGCCATGACATTCCACTACCAAGAGAACACACAGTATACCTGATAGAAACTTAATTTAGTGATCAAGGTAGGACAAGGATGAAGAATAGGTAAATAAGTACACCAACCAATCCGAACATCTTTATTTCATTATTTCTGTTTTGATTGTTTTATTTTATTCTTTTCTTTTTCTCATTTATTTATTTAAAAAAATATAATTTACAATAGTAGCCTTACATGCTAAAGAAATTAAAATAAAAGTAAAACAAAAAAAAATTTTTTTCATTGTAATAGACATAATTTTTTAATTTCAAATATATTGAAGTTTCGAAACATTAAAAAAGTTTTTACGAATTGGCATAATGGTTATTTAAGTAATAATTTTTTGTCAAAAATCATCAAGTAAATTATAAAAGGGTGAAGGAAATCTAAATCACGCAGATTCCTACACTATGAATGCTTGAAAATGGCTTGCTTAGTCTATCCACTATTACCAAAAAATTCAGCTCGGAAACAAACAGATAATCAATCAACATTGAGAACTTTTCCTTTGGGTTAAATTGAAAGTACATTACACATACATTACTTGATTGTCACGCAATATTTCTGAGAAAATTTAAATGACCCATAGTTCTATTTTAGAACAAAAAACCATTAACATAAAGTAATTATACCTACTTACTTACCAAAAACATAATGTAAGAATATTTTATAAATATTTCCTGGGGATTGAACCCAGTACATGGGAACTGAACCCATCTATAACTTTAATGTCAAAACACTACTTAATTATGATACATGTGCCTTATTTCTACTGTTCAATACAGAATAATTACTAGGATAGGAATTCAAACCTTCACCATGTTTAGGGATTTGAACCCAAATAAACACAAAAAACATACACGGGAATTTAACCCATGCTGTGCACATTCATACATAAACTCATGCCTTTGACGCAATAGGTGGAATACTATATTGGGATTTGAACCCATACAAAAATCACTGTGATCCATACTGAAAAAAGTTATGAAACAAGGTTGTTGATACTGAAACAATATGGGAATCTAACCCATGCCAGTTTAAGTCCTCGACTTTATATTACAACAGAGTTGTCATGACTGGGAATTGAACCCCGACATTAACCATTAGAGTTGACATGGGAATCTAACCCATATCTCTAAATTACAAATTTTTCCTATGAAGAAAAATAAATATGGGAATTTACCCCATACTAAGTCAAATTTTTACCACTATTGGGATTTGAACCCAAATTATACATAATCGTTTTTAGCTGGAATTCGAACCCAGACATGTATAGTAATATGGGAATCTAACCCATGACTATGATTGCATAACAAGAACGGTCACATGTAAGCATACAGACTGTATGTATGGGAATTGAACCCATATTTATTTACAATAAAATATATGGGATTTGAACCCAAAAGTTGTAGACATCGGCCACATTTTATGGTAATCAATCTTCTTTGTAATCTCTTATATGGGGTTTTGAACCCATTCATTGACGGTGAGGGTAAATAATAAAAAATTAACTAATAAATATACTTACTTGATTCTACTTATTTGTCATTAGACAAAAATATTTCTTTATAATATTATGAATGGGGTTTGAACCCATTGTCTTTCAACTCGCAACACAGTTTTTGTATTACAAACATACTTGTATACTATGTGGGTAGGTACTTAAGTACTTACTTTTATTATTTCTTTAAAACATAATACTAGAACATTGAAAACAGGACTTGAACCCATTTGAAATATCCTTTAAAAAGTTATTATAAATACTGTTCGATATTTAAACCAAGTGTTGTTGTTTATACACTTATCTCCGAGCATTTGTTTGTTGTGATAAAAGGTGGCAAATTGAAGTTTGTTTTTGTAAAATATTTGCTTAAAATATCAAAATAATATATTGTTGACTTCTAAAGTGACTTTATAGCATTTCTACCAGCTATTTTCATGCATACCATGCCCAAATTTAGACTAAGTATTAGGAATCTGCTGTTTTAAGTAGAGAACAAACTTTGTTAATTTAGCTTCTGAACTACGTGGATTTTGCAATTCTTTGGAGTCTTCGTTTAGATATCCTTCCATAGAAAATTACTTGCTAACACTCACCGAACCGCAGGCAGGATACAAGATCAGGGACAACATAATAGCGGGAACAAAAACTAACCTCACCATCACACTTCACACAGCGATATTTCGGCACAAACACAACCATTAGCCCTAACATGATACTAAACAGTCGCACAACACTTATTTACACTAAATAGCAACAATCTAAACCGCGTTTTGTAACAAAAATACATACAAAACACTAAAAAACAATTTGACATTTTCAAGAGTTAGGATAATCTATCAAAACCGGCCACGGTACGCGTTTGGCACATAATTTTTTATGCCAAATGTTAATTAACGCGGTCGCGATTCACTCGATCTCGATGCAATTTATGAAAATACGCGGAATAACATTGTAAAAACAATAATAGTCACTTGGCATCGAGAGAGTGTTATTTTGACATTTATTCATGAAATACCGTCACAGGCGCCACCATTGTCGTATTTGTAGCGTGGTCTTTTGAATGCAATAGACCTCATTGGTTTTGTCTCTTTTTTTAACGGACGCCATAGTGCGTGCAAGTGAGATAGCAAGAGTCGCGGTCCAATCATTTTAACTGTAGAATAGATGCTAAAAACCAGATCTACCTTTTTTGGTTTGTAGTTTTTAGGCAAAGAATTGAAAGGAACTTGCAAAGTTGCAACAGCAGCAGCAGAATGGACCTAAAATGGCAACCTTGTTATTCAGCGACTTTATAGCTTTTGTTTGATGCAAACTTATGAAAATTCTTTGTGTTATGATTTTTGTCTAGGTTTATATAGGCTAAAACTTTATTCTTGTATTTTTACCTAATATCCCAGGTATCTTCTACCGTTGGAGCAGATATGAGATAAATAATGATAATTGTTTCTCTGGATTGCCATTTCATACATAATTATAAGTACTTAATACGTAAAGTTGTTTTTTTTTAAAGGGGGAAAATAATCGAATCACTGCTCCCGCCTGGGTGAGGCGGGAGGGAGTGTCAGACTCTTACTGACTAAAAACCACCCCGTTCCTTCTACTGCACGTCGAGCCGGAGCCCCGGTTACCCGTTAGGTTCTCCGCGACTTCGTATCGGCATCGGCCGTGTTGGGCTCCATCTGTGGTGGTCTGATGGCTGTTTGAGGCGCTTGCGGAACGCGACGCACCGTACGCTCGGGTACGTAAAGTTAGTTTAAATAACAATTTAAGTGTTAAAAACATTGTTACTTTCAAATAAAAAAATGCTTTGGTAATAAAACTTCCGGCTGATGTTAATGACTCATAACATTAAACTGTCAAACACCAAGCGGTCACCGGTGACCGCAACCTATTGTTCTATAATTGTGTCTATAATGACGGTACTCGACGAGTTAAACATCACGCGTCGCGTCACTGCAAGAACTCACTAATGACAAAAATCATCATCATCAACTAACTAGTTTAACGTCTTCGACATCGGCTCGACGAGGTCTATTCCAGAGCTATGAGCTATTCTATGTGTTATAATAAATCAGTATAAAATTGACATAGTTACGTTTTTTTTCGCTATTCAGGCTGAAATCACAGACGTATAACACATCTGAGTGAAGCAACGCAAGTTTGTAACTAGAAAATGGACTCTACGGACCTTAAGGCCAGAAATCCGATAACAAAAAATTTAAATCTCGAAGAAGTTGGACCGTGACGCAGGATACTAATGATGATCCTCTTTTTACGGCGACTCCCTACAATTTCCCAGACATACAGCTTTGTACAAAAAATAAACCTTAGCGGCTTTGTTTATGCCTGAGGGCACCCCAAACCCATGAATGGAGTGTGTATGTACGGCTTATGGTGTCGCTAGGGGAAATGACAAAAAAAAAGTTGAATCAGAATGAAATGAATATATTTTTATGAGGAATGTAAATTGAATATCATAATCTACTCAGAATGTTTAGATAGTTTCAAATACTAAATAATCAGTCACAAATTAAACGATGTTTTTTACTAGAAACTTCGTATTGCGTGCCGTTGATCGGAACGCAGGCAAGTGTCTTTAACGCCATCTATCTTCAATAGCTAAAACTATTTGCATTACATACTACATGTAGTCGTTACCTACTAAAAACTACTACAAATAAAAATAACCGATTTCCGTATAAAAGTGTGTTTGAAAATATCTGCTTCAGAACTGTTTATATACATTGAGATTTCATTATTTTACAAGTAACTATATTCTTGCAATCATCTGAACCACAGCGCCAGCGTAAGTAGCGAGAATTATTAAATTGTCCATAGTTTCTACATTTTTCGATAGATGGCAGTACCAGTACCTGTTCACTATATATTTATTTATTTATTTATTTATTTATTTTCTTCTTCACAAATACATAAGTGAATGGCGGACTTAATGCCTTAAGGCATTCTCTTACAGTCAACCATAGGGAAGTGCAGAGAAATGAAGTGGATAATTTTCGAAATAAAACAATAACATTAAGCTTAGGTACTTCTTTGAAAAAATAAAGTACCTTTATACTTACATGGTAACAGTTTAATAAATAACGTGAAATACCAAATAAATTATACAATTTTTCAATTGCAAATTCAAATAGGTATCAAGAATCGGTCATAATCAGTCGGGTAAAAAGGCAACGGATTTTATTTTCCTCAAATAAAATAAAAAAACATAACCTGATAAAATATTTTAAAAGTTCTCCAAAACTAACCTCGCTACGAAGTTAACTGGATAGACACAGTGATTGGATTTTAATATCGGACGTCGGACTTTGAAAAAACAAAACTAAAAAGTACTAAACTAGAGCGGAGTTCGCCCCCTAGCGGAGAGCACCGGAACGCCAAATATTGGATTCAATCAAATTCACTGCGATTGTTCGTGTTTCGTAGTCTTCATACCAAAAGTTGATGTTATGGATGTGATGTATATATATTTCAAGGTATTTTAATATAAGTTGCTTTGTGTAGGAGCTTACATAAATAATTCCATATCTCTGAAATGTTGGTTACACTTACCTCGTTAGTAGACTGGTCGCATGGGTGAGTGAAGAGCTATGTACCTATCTCGGGTTCGATTCGCGCATCCAGCAAAGTACCTATTGGTTTTTAGCTGCTTTTCAACCGACTTAAAAAAAAGGAGTAGGTTCTCAATTCGACTGTACCTATTTTTTTTTTCAATGTATGTGCATACATTATACATAATATTATAATATTCAGACAATATGCTTACTACTCGGACTCACCCTCTATAATATTTAATATGAGAATCGAATCGCTAACATAGCTCGTGAGAAACGTGTGCAAATAGATAGTTATACAGTTATACTCAGTGGCATAGGTAACTACAGGATGGCATGTCGGCAAAAATGCCACGGGCCCCCAGCTAGAAGGGGCCCCGTTCAGAGGTTTCCATCTGAACTTCTCTATTTTATTGGGAATGAGTGCCCATCGGATGAATTTGCCATGGCACACGAAAAGTTAATGTGTAAGATTAATGTGCATGTCTGTCTACTCTATCGTTAAAACGGTGTATCCATAATATTAAGATGAAACAAAGCCATTGAACGTCCGTAGTGGGCATTTGCATACAGAGAATATTCTAAAATTTCCAGATCTGAATATTTGATCGCGTGTATCGCATTTGTATCTAGCATTGAAACGCTGAAGCCTTTCAGTATCGCTTGATATCATTTCAAAAGGAGTAGTCGGCTGTATTCAGGCTTTCAACTAAAGCCTAGATAGAAACTAATACTTTTATGAAATATCGGAGAAAATCTGCCAGGCTGTGAGAGTTGTAAGTTGTAATACACTTTTGGTTTGTAAAATACCTATGCTTCCATCAACAGCCTATAAATGCCCACTGCTGAGCAAAGCCTCTTCTCAGACGGAGAAGGTTAGAGCGTTAATCACCACGCTTGCTCAATGCGGGTTGGCGATTTCAAACTTATAATTAGAAATTATAAGTCCAGGTTTCCTCACGATGTTTTTCCTTCACCGTTTGTCAGTGGTGTCTAAATAATCTTAGAAAGTACATATAACTCGGAAAAAGTCACATTGGTACTTGCCGTTGGTAGGTTTCGAACCCGCACCCTCATGCATGAGAAGTGCCCTCGTCTTAAACCTCCGGGCCACCACGATCTATGCTTGCTTTAACTTTAAATACCTATGCTTACTTTAACAAAAATTTTATTTTATTTATTTGTGAAAACAATCAGTGACACATTACATGATACATTATGATGACACAATACATAGGTAGTGCGAACTAATGTGTAACCAAATTTGTGCAAGATATAGGTAGATAGGAACTGAAAAAGTTATTTAAAACTAGATTACAATTATTTAGTGTGTATTAGCGTGTTATATCCGAGGTAGCATTTAGATACCAGGAACACCATACAATTATCATTCTTCGGGATTGCACAAACTGATTTGATCGATTTCTAAAAACCGTTCGCCGCCTTCTCAAGAAGCCTTTTGTCGCCAACATCGGGACGTTTTTTTTAAGGGGGAAAATCATCGAATGACTGCTCCTGCCCGGATGAGGCGGGAGGGAGTGTCAGACTCTTACTGACTAAAAACCACCCCGTTCCTTCTCCTGCACGTCGAGCCGGAGCCCCGGTAACCCGTTAGGTAACATCGGGATGTTAGGACGCTAATTTGAAGTACTAAGTTTTAACTCGTCGAGTACCGGTTTTGTAGACACAATTATAGAACAATAGGTTGCGGTCACCGGTGACCGCTTGGTGTTTGACAGTGTAACCTTGTAACCTTTACTATTTGTCTATTATTTGGTTGCGTTATTTCTATCTCCTCCGCTGCCCACATCGTAATGTTGTTGTTGTTATTGTTTATAAATAATAGTTACCTTTATTTCTATCGACTCAAAAGTACAGACAAGGGTCTATCAATTTTTTCATCAATTCATCATATCAGTTCAGTAGTTTTTATATGCGAGTGACAAATCTTATTCTCTGCCGTTTCCCTCTTGGCAGAGCGGTGGTGGTCACGTTATCACGCAGCCGTATTTGTGTTGGAGGCCAATACTGGTTTTCAGCTCATGGTTTACCGCCATCTCTCCCTGTTTGTGGATAGTCTGGAACAGTCTGATACTGGGTTTCCTGTTGCCGATTTGGACAAATACTAATCCTCTATGTATGGGTATGCCTAGGTACTTTTACATTTCTTTGAAAGTTTTACCTCAACATATTGTTTGATTAAATCATGCCCTTTTTAATAGTGTGTAGACATTTTAAGAATTAACGTTAATGTATCGGTAAAAGAACTTTAAAACGTTCCGTTCGACGCCCAACAAGATTGAACGAAGAAACTTAATTTTCGAAACAAGAAGTCCCATACAGCAAGTACTCCATCTAGTACAAAGTGCAAAACATCTTTGTAATTAGTTAGTCCCGGCTCGGTCGATATAGTACGAGTAGCTAGTGCTGGGACCGGCCCGGGATTTC